ATCTCTCCGCGGGCTAAATTAGAGGGGGCTCGGTCCGAGAGGCTAGTCTCAGAGAGGAGCGTCCGAGTAGTCACAAGAAAAGAACCTGCGCAGTGCAAGGACAGAAAAAAGAGACCACAAGGAGCCGGCGGTCTGGGGCAAAAGAGCCTGGGGCGAATTGGACCCTACAGATGGTTTCGTGGGACTTCCCAAGCCGGGGAAGGAAAGACCGAAGGTCCCACAGGACACAGGGAGCTACGACAAGCCTTTGGGGTGACGGTGAAGGCCGCCTTGGGGGGTCTCGCCTCTGCGTGCTGTCCTCGACCGCTGCGTCTCGTTGCTGATAACCGAGGCGGAGTAGGACACAGATCCCGCCGTCACCTGGGAGCGGATATATCAAGTCTCGCCCGTTCCACGGCCGGGCGGTTCTAGAGCTGCTGGCGGAAAAGGGAGGGCCGGCGAGGAGCGGGCGGAGAGGGCGCGAGAAGCCCTGGAAGCCTTGGAGAGAACCGGCAGGGTGCAGACACTCGCTGACAAGCAGCCGTCGACTCCTTGGCCGGCGTCACAGACAGAGTGGTAGCAGAAAGTGGTCGCAATGTCGCACGGCTGGTAATGTCTGGGCTTCCTCGGTTTGGTGCAGAGCGCGCAGAACCAGAGGCACGGGGGCGGGCGGTGTTGCAAAAGGGGGGATGATGCGTGCGTGGGCGTGTGGTGGGTGTGCTATGTGAGAGCTGTGAGCTGTGTGTGTGGTGCGGGTGTGCTGTGTGTACGTTGTGTGTTGTGGTGCTCAGTGGTGGTGGAGGGGTCGCCTGGTAAGAGGAGAAAGAAGCGTGTCGGTGACGCCCAACAACAGACACAGGCTATCTTCTGTGATATATATCTGCTTGCTGTCTCTGCTGTTCGCGTGCTGTTGTTGTTGATGGTACAGGGACAGGCTGATAATGTAGTTGAAAGCAAAGAGAAGGGCGAGCGAGCTGTATTAGATTACTGGCTGATCAAACGGAGGACACTGGACCGAGTTGGGGAGGTGCCAAATGTTCCGCTTTCTCCCCCCGTGGACCGCGGGACTTGATAAGCGGGAGCGCGGACAAGTGTCAGGGAAGATGCCTGAACAGGTGCAGACGGTAGCAGGCGATCCTCGGTAGAGCAATTGGTCGGGGGGGAGGGGGGAGCAGATGGAGGGAGAGGAAGCACGGGGAGGACCTGAGGAGGGTGGGGGGGGTGGTGGTTGGCGACGGGGAGAAGATGGTGGTTCCCTTTGCAGTTCTCTTTGGGCCCTCTCCGTGCCTCTCCGGGATCCAATCCCGCCGGCTCTCAGGGCAATTTCTGCTCCCCACAGCGAGACTACCAGGTGCCGAAAAGGAGGGCCTAGCCTTATTTAGTTGCGCTGGCGAGCGGGAGCAAATGCTTGGCAGTTCTTGGTCATAGCAACAACATCATTTCGCGGCCCTCCACCACCACCTTCATATCAGAGGTTTGGGATTGTGACGAAATGACTGCTCCAGAGCCCGCATGCACAACGCAGCCAATGGCTCCAGGAAACACGCTCAAGCTTCTCAGCAAGCCAGCCTGACTGGATGTCCACATCGGAGCCCCATGCCCCCAGATATTCCCAACGGGGGCATGATCATCGAGCATGCCCAATGCGTACGACTGGCGTGGATGTACTAGCTAGTACAGACTATTCCAGTGCTTGGCCTAGAAAATATCTGGTGGGGTGAGATATGTACGAGAGGTGACGAGTGCAACAGAAGGTTGGCTTTCGTCCCAATTGAGGAGGAAAGCATGAGGATGACAGGTCGTACGTGTCTCCAATTCTGGACGAACCGGGACACAATGCTCTCTGGTCCCTTGGGAGAGCCGAAACGAAACATTCATCATCAAAATGTTTTCAGTTTTTGAGAGTTTTTTGTTGATTGCCACCTTCCTGCTCTCTTGAGCAAGGGACAGCGAGAGAGAGACGGGCTGATCGCAGCAATAACAGGGCTGTTAAGCCTGTCAGTTCCAGGGTTCAGCGGGAGAGGGGAGAGTTGGCGCCGGCTAATATCAACGACAGCTGGTCCCGCTGGCCCCTCCCGTCCGCCGTCCCTTTGAGAACACTGGTGATATCTTCAAAGTTCGGGCTCCAAGCAGCGGGATGGCTCGTGATTGTGTAAAAGCTCCGGGACCGAAGTCTGCCCTGGCCCTTTTGCCCACACAACAAACAAACCACCGCTCGACAAAAGCCGGCATGGCGAGCCAGTGCCTGCCGAGACAGTACGTGCGTAGCTTGTGGTGGTGGTTACGCAAAGTCTTGGCAACGTCTGAAGCTCTGTGCAACGGCCACAAGAGAGAGAAGAGTGTGAAGAGCTCCCCACCTCTGCTCTTCGCGACCACCGACAATCGTTCCACCTTACGGACTCGCACGACGTGTCTCTGCTCTCTCTATCCGCCTCGTCTCTGCGTCTTTCGATGCTCAGCTGAAATTCCTGATCTCGACTTGAAGCCATAGCCAAGCATCGTACATCGCAGAGCTATTATGGTTCGGGAAATTTCAGACGAGATGGCCGCGATGGCCAGGCCGTTGTAAAAATCGAGGCAGACTCGAGCATCGGAATTTTTTCTTCTTGCTGCTGATCAACTGCAGTTTTGGCACTGGCGTCATTCCACCGTCAGAGTGATCTTCAGGGCCAGCTGCTGTTCGAATCCCAGGGATGATCATTGGCTAAGTGGCCCACAGCTGCCCGACGGTGACCCGAACGCGACGGAGAGAGAAACCTGCGTACTGGGATTGATGTCGTACAGTGAACCCTGGTAAGTGACAGCTAACGGGGACAGTGGTCGGCGATGATAATCCCCCTCTGTCGCGTGAATCGATATTTGACATCAATGACATGGAGAACTTTTCAAACCCAGTTGTGGAAGGGGGGCCCCATCAGAAGTGCATTTGTTGGCCTTGGCGTGGGGTTTGGGGGGGGGTCTTGGCCTTCTGTTCTGTGGAGCTCCCGAAGCTTTTCGGGCTGGCTGTCAGCGGGAACCTCCGTTTCTGTGCATGAAGCCGCTCCGACGTCCGGTCTTGGTATCCGGGACGATGCCCTCCCGTCGGCGATGGCGTTGATGGATACGTTTATACGAGGGCTGGAGCCTCATTCCGTGGTGTTTCTATTCGCTGGTTGTCCACCCCTGTCGAATATTCAGATCCCATCCCAAACCGCTGCTCGGTGACTGCATCTGGGTAAGGGTTGTTGAAGCAATTCCGAATGTGGGTCCGAACATCGGGGGCTCAAGTCAGTGGAATGTTTCCTGCACCTCTTTCTTCCGTCAGTAGATGTCGTTTCAGGGCGACTGAAAAAGCAACGAGGTGGGTGATACATCATTCGATACTCGCATATCATGAAATTCTCCAGACCCTAATCGGGGCGAGGCTACGAGACTCGAGGGTTGAAGACGTTGACAGCTGCCATCCATGTCTCATAGGGTGGTGACCGCGGGGTAGCTGGAGGTCTGGTAAAGGCAAGTGGGTCTCGCTTTCTAAGTGGAAGTCGCGACGCGCCACGCGTGTCAAGTGCAAGTAAGAAGTAGCGACTGCCAATATGTGAAGTTAAAAAAAAAATCAACAGCAATTCGTACCGACCCTGATGGTCAAGTTGGGTGATTTTTCATCATCGCTGTAAACCCTTCCTCGTCATACTAGCCGTAAACAAACGAAAAGTCTCACAGCCACCGGTATCTGTACCACCTTTTTGGAATCTTGGATAGTGGCTTCCGGCCTTGTCTCCGGACCACCCGGCCACCCGGCCATCTTCCGAACCCCCACCGACCGTCACGGTCCGGCAGCCAACAGTTTCGGCCGGCCCCGTTTCGATGTTTTGAAGCTGGGCCATTGGCCTCACAGCATGACAACCAACTTCAGCAGCAACCAACCTCCTCAGCATAACAACAAATGCCAGCATCAAAACAACCAACTTCATCCAATATGCCACCAATATCAGACGAGTGGGAGCTTCCACGCCTGCGTAGCTCATTTCAGCTGCACGAAGATGCCGTGAGGGACGAGGGTAAGTGTTTCATCGACTTTATTTGCGACTCTCACATGCTAAACATACCAATTAGATCTCGCCGAGTTCTTCGACGTCAAATTCTACCCCTACAACCCACCAGGCGCACCCCCAGTGTTCGCGGCCACAAGCAAGAAGCATGTCGTCGTCGTCCGCATGGTGCCAACCACAGACAAGGACCAGAACCCTTGCAAAGTCATCCAAATGATCAGAGATGCCGACTCAGGCGCCAACAACTACACGTGCTGTTGGTCCAAGGATTCAGACACGGAAGATCCCTGGCTGTGTGTGGCCGGCAAAGATGCCAAGATCAAGGTGTACGATATCAGGAGAGGAAAGCTCGTCAAGACGCTGGTCGGTCACGGCGGCGACATCAGCGATCTTGCGACCTCTCCAGCGTGTCCTACTACCATAGCCTCTGCTTCAGACGACACGACTATTAAGCTTTGGAGTCTGGCAAAGGAACATGACAAGCAGCCGTGTATCTGCATTTTGGGAGGCGAGGGGCATCAATACAACTTGCTGACTGTGGCGTTTCACAACAATGGAAGATATGTCTTGTCTGCCGGGCATGATCAGATTATCAATCTTGTGAGTTCACTTCTCCCGTCACCATATCTTCTCACTTTTCATCGACAGCGCATCACTAACATCCACCAGTGGGCCCTCCCCGAGTTCCCAAAGGAACACATCAACGTTCCCATCGTCCTCCACTACCCTCATTTCTCCTCCTCCGAAGTCCACAACAATCTCGTCGACTGGTGAGCCTTTTTCACCCTCCTTAACCACCAACCTTGTTACTAACCCCCCGCAGCGTAGCCTTCTATGGCGACTTGATCCTCTCCCGCGCCTGCCACGAAGACACCATCGTCCTCTGGCGAATTGAAGGTTTCTCCTCCTCCGATCCTATCCCCGGCCCCCTTGACGCTCCCACACCAACCGACATGGCCAAGCAAACCCGGTCATACTTCAACCCTATCCCTTCCAAAGCCCGCCCGGCCATGTTCACCCGTCTAGCGCAATTCCACACCCCTGATTGCGGTGTCCAGTTCTATATGCGCTTCCGAATGTTCCACGCCGAGGGGAGGCATCCCATCTTGGCATTTGCCAATGCAAAGAGCAAGACCATGTTTTGGGACTTTTCACGGTTTGGGGCGTATAGGGATTTTATGGAGGAGTTGGAAGCAGCCAGAAAGTCGGGGAGTGGACAGGTGGTGCAGAAGCCGAGTTGGCTGTTGATCAAGAGAGCGAAGAAGGGGACCGCCGCGCCGGCGCACCAGGATGCGGCGGCTAGTTTGAGGGCTGCTGCTGGGGATAAGGAGTCGATGGTTTCGGCTAGTCCCGACCCGGAGGGAGGCGGGAGTGCGATGGCAACGCTGGGGAATTATAATCAGGATACGCTGAATCACTGGAAGGAGATGTATGACTTGTCGAACCCGGCGGGTTTGATCAGGCCGCACAAGGTGCAGGGGGTGGACGGTTCGTTTGTGGGGAGGCAGGTGGGTTGGAGTCCGGGAGGGGAATGGTGTGTGGTGGTGGGGAATAAGAATAGGGCTTTGATTTACCAGCGGGGGGCTAGGGAGAAGGGGGTTGCGACGCCTGTTACCTAGTTGTATTGATGGGTGGTTTTTTAAAGTGGATTGGTTATTTTTGTCTGCTTCGATCTAGACTATCCTGCTGGTAGAAGTTCAAGCATGGGGTTATGGCGGGTGGATTGAGATGGATGTTGGGTTATGAATAATCATGGATTGGGAGAGTTGGACGATGGATGTACATTTATGTATTCCACTCAGACTAGATGTCTACACTAGCCAGCTTTTTCTAGGGCCATGGCTGAGACACCGACACATGTTGACTACCTGTACTCGTAATGAACAAATCCAGAGAATCACGCCGGCATAGAAGAAAAGAATTGCAGTTGCGGCCCTTCCTCATCGCTTTCCTCATCTTTTTCATCGTTATCCTCGTCTTCCTCTTCTTCATCCTTATCCTCCTCCTCCTCCTCATCATCATCATCCTCGTCATCATTCCCCAACATCTTCAACAACTCCTCATCATCCTTCTTCAGCACCCCCTTGCCCATATCCCTCACCCCCGCGAGCAGCTTTCTCGCCTTTTGTCTTTCCTTATCCCTGACTTCATACCCCGCCCTCTTCTCCTCCTCACCAAACGGCACGCACAAATCAGCAATATACAACCCCACCATCGCCCTCAACCTAGCAAACTCCCCATCCCTCGAAAACGGCGTCGTCTCCAGCAGCGCATCCATCCTTTCAGCTATACCCCTCATCTGCCTGAGCACCTCCCTCCTCAGCTCATCCTTCTCCTCCCTAACCCTCGCCACTTTTCTCTTTTCCCTTGGGGGAGTAGGAGGTGCTTTGTGCTCCTCCTCCCCGTCAACATCCATCTCGTCGTCCGGTTCCTCCTCTATAATATCCACCTCATCCTCTACATCATAAAACTCCCCCCTCCCATCCCGTTCCTCAATCCTCTCCATCCCCCTCCGATGCAAAGCGTACACCCCCTCCATTTCCGCCGAAAACAACGCAATGTTAAACTCAAGCAGCGGACGCCCCGTAGAGTTGGGGTGCTGCTTGCTGAACGGGTGGTTCTGGATAAGATGCTGATAAAACGCCTTGAGGTTCGCCAGGTTGGCTTGTTGACGGGCGAATAACCTATCTTTCTGTCTCGATTCCCTCTCTGCGTTATCGTCGTCTTCATTTACTGCCTGCCGCTCTAGTTCGATTTGGACAGCGCCTTTGAGTTCCCCTTCGGTGGTGATGGTGGTAGTCTCCCCTTCACGCAGTATAATCTCCGCCCCCAACTCCCACAACCTCTCATACCTAAGATCAACCCTCCTCCCATTCACCTTTGCCCTCGCAAGCAACCCAAACGATCTTTTCGCCAGCGGGATATCACCCTCTCTGAGCGCCCTCTTCACCGTGTTGATTAACACCCCTACTTTGTTGGTATGCGCTGCTGCCTTTCTGTCCTTTTCAAGTTCCTTTTTCTTGCTCCGACGCTTTCCTGAGGTGTTTGAGGAGGAGGCGGAAGAGAAATCTGTCTCTTCCCCTGCGGTGGTCCTGGCGCCGATGGGCCCGTCGTCGTCAGTAGTGAAGTCGGGGAGTTCATCGCCGCCTTCGTCGCCGGATTTGTCGGTTAGGTTGTTGTGAGAGGGGTCGTAGGATTGGGAGGTGTACTGGTAGCGCTTGCGGGCAGGGCGGGGGGGTCGGTGAGGGAAGCCTGGGTAGAGGTCTGAGAGGAGGGGGGAGTCGTGGGGGAGGCCGGCGAGGGTGAATTGTTTGAGGGTGGAGGGGGTGTGGGAGCGGGGGTTGATTACTTGGTCGGCGGAGGATTTGGCGGGGGAAGGTTGAGTGCGTTTGCGCTTGCGTGAGGAGGACATTTTGGTGGTTGTGTTCGAGGAGTGGTGATGGATGTTATGTGAGTGGTGAGTGGAAAGGTGAGATGGCGTCGTGAGATGAGCAACTGGTTGTGAGAAGGTCGCGCTTGGTGATGACAAACTTGAAAAGAGTCGAGATAGATCCCTCCAAAACGTAACTTTCAGATTTGACGAGTGCGAGATCTGTTCTGTGAAAAAGGGCGGGCTAGTTGTCGTTGATGGAGTTTGATAATTGATGTGGAAGTTCAAAGATGAAATTCCAAGATTTTTTAGGTTGATTTGCGAGAAACAGGTTATGACCTTGTCTGTCCACGGTCG